CAGCTACTTGGGAGGCTGATGCAGAAGAATCACTTGAACCCGGGAGGCAGAGGTTGCAGAGAGCTGAGATCACACCACTGTACTCCAGCTTGGGCCATAGAGTGAGAATGGGTCTCAAAAAAAAAAAAAAAAAAAAAGAATGTTTTATGTTATATTGATGATTTCATGTTTTGTGCCACAAAAATAGGCCAATTCTCCCAATTCTGAATAACAGTCTAAATTCTAATACAGACAATAAAGTATCATTAAAAGTCTGGGACCTATTTTGAGTACATGCAGGTTACCCCATAGAAGGTTACTATGAAATCAACAATTGACATTAGCTTTAATTTTTTTGTTTTTTCTTAGGAAAAACAAAATATAGAACAAGCCAACAATTAAACCTACAATTGATTATTCTTTGCCAGGACATTGAGAGAGACTCCAATGCTTCTATACATGAGCTGCTATAGCAACTCTTCAGAAAATATGTAATCATAAATTTGGAGGGACAAAAGGATTGCCTGTTTAAAAAGAACATTTACAGTTTAATTCATAATTTAATTTAATTTCTCAGGATTTTTCGCAAGGAGTTATTAAGAAAAAGTTTTTAAAATTCTGGAACCATCACACAACTCTAAGCACAAATAGAAACATTTAGAAGTAAAACATCTTCTTCTGACACCTTTCCCAGCTTATAACAATTCATCCATCCAGAAGTCAGACGGGTAACAAAGACCTGTTAAATAGAGTTCTGAAGAACACAAAGCATCAGTACTCATGTCACTATAGACTAGTTAACAGTGTTCAACTCAAATGTAACTTAGGACATGTATTTGAGGGAAGGGGTCTATAAAATGATATACCTAATTCTAGTCTTTTACAAGTAAATGGTGCCAAAAGACTGCCAAAAAGTAATGAGAGTAGCAGAAAGCTTATAAAACTTCAGCACAGAAAACAACTATATATTAATGTCTAATACATCTCACAAAAATAGGAGTCACTAATAAATAAAATCAAAACAAAAGTGACTGATAAACAACTCCTAACTGTAAAAAGGCAGCAATGCATCTTGGCCACAGAGCTGACATGTGATGATCAGTTTTTTTCTTTAAATGTTTATGAAGAAACTGTTTCATGCAACCCACTACTGTCCCACCTAAATAAAAACTTCAGGAAATAAAAGAGATGATATATAAGGTCTGTTTCAGTTACAAAACTCTGTGATTCCATTAGTGAATTTTAGCGCTTCCAGAAACTCAGAATAATCTAGTGTCTCTTCTCTGTTATCAAGACACAAGGGGAACAAAGAGACTGTTAGTCTTTTGCTTAAACTGTAAGAAAGAAACTCAAAGAACAACTTACTGCAAAAGAGGATCAAAATTTGAATGAAAGCCATTTGTGAAGGCTCTGGACCCAATTTGTTCAGAAGTCACGCACAAGTACACATGCACATACAGCTTAAAAGTTTTATGATACTAAAAATATATATTCTACAAAGGACTAAAACAATGATCAATTTTTTTTTTTGAGACAGAGTCTCACTCTGTCACCCAGGCTGGAATGCAGTGGCACGATCTCGGCTCACTACAACCCCCGCCTCCTGGGTTCAAGTGATTCTCCTGTCTCAGCCTCCGGAGTAGCTGAGATTACAGGTGCATGCCACCACGCCCGGCTAATTTTTGTATTTTTAGTAGAGACATGGTTTCACCATGTTGGCCAGGCTGGTCTTGAACTCCTGACCTCAAGTGATCCACTCACCTTGGCCTCCCAAAGCACTGGGATTACAGGCATGAGCCACCATGCCCGGCCAAAAATTGAAGTTTGATTTTATCGATCCCATTAGAAGTTACCTGGTGGTAAGTCAGGATCTGTAGGAGCAGCCTGCTGAATTCTCCGTGGTTTGATTGATGATTTTGTGTTCTCAGTGGTACTACGGTTGGTGGAATTAGAACCACAGCTTTCATGGTCATCCTATTTTTATTTTAAAGAAAGAAAAAGAAAACCATCAATCATATTCAACAATTAAGAAAAAAATTTTATATATGCAGTTTGTGGTAGCTACAGGAGAAAGATCAACATAATTTTATTTTTAGCTCTAAAAACTACATAACCAATTTTCCTAATTTGCATTCTCAAACAGCATTTAAAAATATTAATAACTAGTAGTTTAAAACTATAAATTCTTCTTTCTTTAGCTGATGTCAAAACAAACTACTTGACAGTCTTCAAAGAATTCTTATTTATGGCTCTAGCAAAAGAAAAAATTACTTAATGAAAGCTTTTAAACACCATCCATCTCTATGTAAGTGCAAAGTAAATAAAAAGGTTCTTAATTTTTCCCCTATTTGTTGTTTATATGTGAAAACACTATTTTCAATCCAAGCTATCTTGGTCATCTTTAATGATTAATCTTAATCACCCTTATAATCCTCTCCATCCTACTAAACAATGTATACTAAATTATCATTCATGTTAGGTATAAGTTTTAACTGGGTTTCAATATGAGTAACAGAAACAAATAAATTATACATATTTTTGAAATTTATCCCTTTATTTATAATTGCAAATGAGTACTTTTTTCCTGTCCTGATTCAACATTTATGTAATGCTCTTACATGCCAATTACTGGATTTACAAGGATAAATTAGATATATTTATCTTTGTATCCTGTCCTTAGGGACTTCAGAATCTATCAAACACATATATAACTAATTCTACAACAGCAATACTTTTGTTTGTTTTTAAGTAATAAGGAGCATAAAAAGAGTCATTATGTTTGGGAGAACTAGAAAGATCAGGCCATTCAAAATCAAATGTAGAAATGTTTTAGGTTTAGACTGGGGCTAATTGAGGTGTGGAGGGAGGGACCATAAGCAAAAGCAAAACAGTATCAACATATGTAGCACATATAAAGAATGATGATTAGTCAAATAAGGCCAGAGTGTACAGTATCTAAGATGGAAGAAGTTAAAGGCACAGATCTTTCAATAAAAATGGGGTAATGTTAACAACTATAGAGATATTCTCAGTCCTCATTCTAGTTGGCCTGTTTCAGGATTTGGTAATTAGGAGGAGGCTGCCACTAACCTATTAGAAAGGAGATTTAGCAGTTCCCACAGAAAGAGAGAATTGGGAGCAGTAAATGAGTAGCTCAGAGTGAATGAGAAATTACAGTGGAGTCAATAAAAATAAACTGCACTTTCACGAAGATAGGCATTACAAAGAGAAAATAGGTGGAGTAGTAACATGAGGGAAAATCATCTGGCAACTAAAACTTCTTATTCCTTTTTTGAGGATAAAAGAATACATTTTTTCTTGAAGTAAAAATGCATATGTGGAGTGAGAGATCAAAGACACCAATTTTACAAAGGGTAATTGAGAGTGCACTGCGCACCATGAATTCATTAATCAATAATAACACTATTTTATAGTGATGAATAATCATCACTAGTTTACCAAACTCACAGGGTATTAGAGGCAAATAAGAACGATAATAAGACCTCTTTAAGAAAATTTTTATTCACTATCGCACTAAGAGAAATATACAATAAACGGTGTCTTACAAAATTGCATGGCTTCAGATGGTAGTGATACATTAGAAAAAAATTTGTTTGAAACTTCATATAAACAAAATGACTTGCAACCATAAACAAGAGTGAAAATTTTCTCACAACCTTATGTTCATTTTAAGTTAATGAAAAACAAACACCACAGGTTTCATTCCACAAAATAACTTCACTATTCAATCTTCATAAAGATATCTTCTGTTATTTGGGGGATGTTACGGTCTTAAATACTAAAAGACTACTACCGTGAATAAAGCCTTACTGTAATTACTTTTAGTTCAACTTAAATCCTTAAAAATGTCCACAGTCATACACTTCTGCACAACATTAACATTGAAAGCACATTATTAATTTTTGAAACATATGGTTGTCTCAAAAGCCCAGAAGTAAAACATGTTCATTAAAGAGATGTGAAAAAGTTCCAAGTGAACTGCCAAAACTAGCATAATTATGAAAATATTTAACACTGAAACCATCTGAAATCACATACTGTATATAGATTATGGTGATGTCATAATAAACATTCCAGCCAAAATGCACTAAAACTACTGCAGTCCAATAAATCTGGCATATGTGAGATGACAAACATTTTAAAGCAAAAGAAAGAACAAGTTATTTTTACTCTATTTTTTAAAAATTATTAGCAGCAAAATGGGATTAAATGAAAAGGATGAGTTTTCAAATTTTTGTTAAAAAAAAAAAGTGAATAAAGCTTCCCTGAAAACTACATGTATTTATTATTCAAAAGAGAAACAAACTAAATAACTTTATTTGCCTAAACAAAATTTATTTTAAAAACCTGAAATTTTTGTGTGCTCAAAAAATGAGCATTAATCATGGTACTCACAGGAATATATACTATAAACCAAACATTACCAAACACATAAACACTTCTTTCTTAATTATGGTTAGGAAACTTTGACAATGTATACACTATAATTAGAAATTAATCCTTTCAATGATTTGAACTTGTTTTCATTTCAATTACATTTTAGTTGTATCCAATAAAAGTGAGTTTCCATTCAAATCATGCCCCAATCAAATTAAATAAAAATAAAGCCAAATAAGAATAATTATAATATTTACTATTAAGACTGAAATTATTTCCATTAGTTTTGAATTCATCATCTGCTTTTAACCAGTAGGCATCACTGTGGACTATTACACAGTTTTCATTCACTGAAAGCCTTTAATTACTAATAAAAGAAACTCTGTTCTCAAAAATACTAGCTAAAATATTTTCAGATAATTTTTAACACCAAACACACTACAGTTATATCTTATTTAGGTTGCAACTTTTTCCAAAATGTCTGGTAAGTATATTTCATGGCCAAAGAATGTTTTCTCTTGGGGACCACATAGCTATTTCTGAAAATACTGCCATTTACTCCTCATGAAACAAGCAAGAATGTCATTTCCTTACAAAAGTTCCTAACAGAGGAAAAATGTGTGGCAAACACTGCATGTAAATAGACCATTACTTTCATACTGACAGATCATGAGTTCATGTTGCACACTTTTCTCCCTGTCCCTCATAGGGCTAGTCAACTAAAACTAGAAAACCATCAACTCCTAGATTCACAATAGTGTGAATAAAATTAAGAATAAAACTGAAAACAAGTAACTAAATCATTCAAGTCCTCGTCTAAAATTACAAGAGCAAGAAGTTAAGATGCAGGAAAGAGTTGAAGAAGGAGAAAATGAACAGTGAAACTAAGAGGTGATGTACTTTATGCTCAACCCTGTGGCACCAAACCTCGCAAGCAGAAAAGAAGTAAGACTCACCTGTCAACTCTGATCACCAAAGGGGCTTAGAAATGAACTGCTACAAGGCTCTTAGGAACATTCACCTCTATCCTCTCCAGTAGCAAGTACAATGATAACTGCCAGATGCAATAAAGAATCTCTGAGAGTAACACTGCACACTTCAAAGTCAGAAAGCTAAATAAAGTCATTTACTCAGAGGTACACTTGGAGAGCACAAGAGAGAGCCAGGGAAAACACATTCACTAAGTTTCATGGTAAAAATAGAAATCTGACTCAACTCTACCTTAAGAGCAATATTTAAAACCTTAGCTTTAATCATAAAAAAATATATATGTATATATATCAAGCATGCTTAAATAAAGAGGAATGTGTAACACCAATCTCTTCACACATCAACTTTAGTCCACAAGGGAGGCTGCTTCCATCTTCTCTCCTATCAAGAGTAGAAATAAGGGGTTATGATAGGCTGGAAAAAGGAAAAAGAAATGACCCTCCCTTGTATTATTTTCACTTGATCATCTCAAAGGAAGATATAACTAACCTGAATGACCAAAAGCTGAACATTCATTGGGCCCATTTTAATAATAAAGGAGATGACTGTACTCACTGTGAACACTTCTATGTGCTTTTCTAATCGCTTCTCTTCTAATCTCTGAGACCCATGCTACTCAGTAAAAGGACCAGAGCCATTTTCCCAGATGACTCAACCATTAGCCATCTCTCCTTTGCCTTCTTTTCACCCACATAGCCCCCGACCCATGATATTACCCCAGCCACAGAATGATCAAACTATTGAACTATGCCACAACATCTATCAGAGAAATAGCAAAACATGTTAGGAAAAATTTGTTCTTTATAGCTACCTATGACATTCCTTTCCTTCATATTGGTGGGTGTGTATCAGATTGCCACCTCCCTCTCCCACTTTTTTTAAACAACAGAATTGAAACTGTGAGATCCACTCGAAGATTTAGAAGGTGAAATAGGCAGAAATTCATGGAGGAAAAAAAAAAAAGTAAATACAGAACTACCCTGGTCTAAACCACATTCTACCATCTAATTTTTACCAGAATTCGCTGGGGGGAATTGGGTTATTGAACAGATCAATTTAACTGCACTTTGTTTTCTTGTATACAACTTCCCTCAGCAACAGATGTCCGAGCAAAGTAAAGTATGTGTTAGGCACCTCAGGGAAAAAAAAAAAAAGTAGTAAAATAGAAGATATCTTTATCTAAGTATTTTACCTATTTACTCAAATAACAAAACCTACGTATACATTAAAAAGTTAGTAATTTAAGAGTTAATCAGGCCAGGCATGGTGGCTCACGCCTATAATCCCAGCACTTTGGGAGGCAGGTGGATTGCCTGAGGTCAGGAGTTCGAGACCAGTGTGGCCAACATGGTGTAACCTTGTCTCCACTAAAACTTCAAAAAAAATTAGCCGGGCGTGGTACTGTGCACCTGTAATTCCAGCTACTCAGGAGGCTGAGGCAGGGGAATCGCTTGAACCAGGGAGGTGGAGGTTACAGTGAGCCAAGATCGTGCCACTGCACTCCTGCCTGGGTGACAAAGAGAGACTCCATCTCAAAAAAAAAAAAAAAAGTTTATCAGTGATTATATACATCACAAAGAAAAAAG